GGAGGGAGGGAGGGAGGGAGGGAGGGGAAGGAACAATGACACACAGAGAACGCTCCAGCCACGGGCACACGTGTGTATGCGTGTGCGCGTGCGTGTGAGCACCGACCGTGTGAGTATCTGCCGAGTGCCTTGAAGTCTCTGGCCTGCGGGATTTCCTTGAGGTCGATCAGACGGCCGCGGCCGCTCTCATCGTACTTGTACAACACCTGAAGGCATTCATATATTCATCAAGGAGCCAAACCAACAGAGGCAGGAGCACACACACTTTGTGTGTCGGCGTGCGTGCGTCCAGGTAGGTAGGTACCTTTGGGCATCCGTAAACGAGCAGGTCAGAGTCCTCAGAGATCACCAGCGACACCCATCCTATCAACTGCACACAGACAGACAGACAGACAGACAGTCAGACAGACAGAAGACATCCATCCACCACGGGCAGCAGCGCGGCTGTCACTGTCTGTCTGTGTGGGTTTGGTTCGGTTGGCTCACCGCTAAGAAGGTCATCTGTGCGTCCGCTTCGTAAGGTGCTACAATGAACTCGATATTCTTGGCACGCAGACGCTACCAACACACCACACCCCATATGCATGGTGCAATGCACCTCCCCTCCCCCATCGCTATCTCACCAGCAGCAGCTCATGGGCGTGCTCGGCAGTGATCGTCACGGCCTGGGCGAAGAACTGCACAACACACACACACACACACACATACACACATTCACATACACAGCACAACCACAACGCCTCGGTCGGTGTATAGTACGTGTGTGTGGCGAATGCATTGGTTGACTGACTGACTGACTGACCTTGTGAGCCTCCTCCATCTTTTGCATCTTCATGAGACCCTTAGCCTTGTCACGGGCCTCACGACGGGACCTGAACACCGCACACCACACCACACCACCACACCGACAGACAACCATTACAACACAGACAGTACACAAAACAAACACACCTCCCCAGCCCAGGGAGTGAGCTCACTGTTCCCGCCGCTGATTCTCTTCGGCCTTGGCGGGCAGCGAACCACCGTCGAACACAACCACCTGCGCGAATGAGTATATATGAAGGGATGACCGACCAGACAGATCCGCCGGGTGTGTGTGTGTGTGTGTGTACCGGTGTGAGGCCGAGTTCTATGAGTGAGTCGATTCGCCTGATGCAGTAGTCGATGTGTCGGGTGGTCGGCTCCCCCAATACCAACGCCTTGGCACAGCTGTAGGCACCCTGCATCTCACACACACACACACATGCCTCCATCGACTCGGTTAATCGTCATCAATGGTTCTCTCTGTGTATCCATCTCACCTTATGGAGCCAAGACGAAGCCTATCACATCACACACACGCCCAGCACACAGAGGCAGATATATGCATCCACGAAACGAACGTCCTTTCGCGTGTGCGTGTGTCGCCTCACATCGATGGCAACTCGTTCCCCCTTGAATGCGGTGATGTGGACCTCACGCTGCACGCCCTCCAAGGCCTTCAACAGGCCCTGGATACCCATCCTTCAACAGAGCCGCTCTAGCCTGCAGCAGCGGAGCTCATGGCCGACGGAGGGGGGAGATGCGGCCGCCTATGCACTCGGCAGTCATCACGACGTGAGATGCGGCGAAAAGTGTCAGAAAATGCAGGAAGTCCAGAGGATCGCGCGGCCAGCTTGCGGCCGGTTTCCGTACCCTTGACGCGTTCCGTGTGAATCCCCCTGTTAAAAAAAGTCTCCTCCAGCGCTCAGTCAGCACAGGCTTACGGACTTCGGACGAAACAATCATCAAAACAATGCGTGGAGAGAAAATGCGAACAGGCCGGCTGACGGACGGGCCTCTGCAGCGAGAAAAAACACCGCATCAGAGCCGCTAGCCACTCACGCGCACCCCCTCATGTAAGAAGCCACACGATTCGTGACACAATCAGACAGACACGCACAGATGCCCACACACACACACGCGCGCGCAGCTCCTAAATGCTTTGCAGCACATGTCGACCGCAATCCCCAACAACACTCACTACCGCTCACTGCCGTACACTCACTCACTCAGATCTATAAACTCTCACGCTCCCCACACCCCACCCCACGATGGCTGGATGGGTGCGCACTGCCTGCGTGTCGTGTCATGGTTGTCCGACTGTCAGTTCCTGGGCGTCGGTGCCTCCGAGTATGCAGTAGCCCCACCGCCGGGCCGTCTTGCGGTAGCACAGCAGCCACATCGACACGCACACCAAAGCTGTCACTACCAACCCTGACGCCACTGCAAGATAATGACACACACACACACACACCAGCAGATGGACATGACGGAAGGGTGGTTGCCTTGCCCTGTGTGTGTGTGTGGTTACGTCCAAGTACGAAGACCCATCCGTCGTCCATGCCAAAATCGACGCTGGTGTCATCGGACTGTTGGACGCCAGGCGCCTCGCCATCACCATCCCAATTCAACAAAGCACTTCGCGCCTCTGCACACACACAGACACACACACACACACACGAGTGTGCCCCTCCTTCCCTCTCTCTCTCTCTGTCCATGGCAGGATATGATGCTGACTTACCTACACTGCTCTCCCCGGTGGCCCGCATCATGCACACGGCGCTGACGTCGGCCTCCTCCACATCCGGCGATCGACACGCCTTGCACCAGTCGTCTTCTGTCTTGACCGGCGCCGAGAGGTCCACGGCCCTCTGCCAGTCGGCAAGAGGACACACGCTCGCTGACACCGAGGCGCCTGACTCGTCCGTGTAGCAAGGGTGTGGGCTGGAGGGGGTGCCGGGGGTGAAGGGCAGCGGCAGCACTTCCTCCTGGGTGCCGAAACCTGACGATGGGTCTGGTCAGAGAGGGGACAATGAGATAGATGGTGTCATGGTTATCGTGTTTCGCGCTTTGCTGACCGTAGTTTCTTCTGACGTAGGTGGTATTGACCTCCCACCGTCTCCCACTCACGACCGCATCGCTACGAACACACACACACAGGGGAACGGATGGACAGATGTGTGAGGATTTTCCTCACCCCCCAGTGACCGCCCCACTCACTCGTTGGTAATCTCGACGATCTCGAATAGGAAGGCCGAGCCGTACGGCGGCACCTCACTCACCTCCAAACCCAACGCAGACGCCAAAGACAGCATCGTGCCGTAGTGGGCTGATCGATGGATCACCAATCACACACACACACACACATGGGTCAGAAGCAGCGACGTGTGTGCGTGTGTACCCGAGTAGATCTGGACACGAGGCACCGAAACGTCGCCTGCACGCGCGAATGGCGCAACAGAAAGATGGACAGAGAGATGGATGGATGGGGCATGATTGCATGGCCTGCCTACCTTGTGTGTTGCCGATGAGGATCTGTGTGAGGTCCTCGGCCAGCAGCCCCCCGCCGAACGCCCCCACACGGTCGCGGTCGTACTTGTGCAGCTCCAGCCAATTGGCCAGACGCCACACCTGCTTCAAATCAGTCGCTGGAATGAACACACACACACACAACACACACAGACAGACAGACAGGGATGCGTTCGGGTGGTCTCTGTGAGCATTTGTGTGTTGGCGTACGCACCGTTGAGTCGGTCGAATCTGCCGACGCGCGCCGGGTGATGGTCGTCGGCGTATGTGTGTGTGTACACGACATCATCGTACACGTTGTACCAGTTGCTGAGGTCCGCCACATCCTGCGGGAGACCCTGCCTCTCCGTCACGCGCCTGCGCAGGTCGCCCGTGAAAAACTCCTGCTCACACACCACACCAAGGCAAACCGCACAAGGTCAGGTCGGCCACATATGGCCCTGCTGCCCGTCGACCCATATGTGCAGACAACCGCCGTAACCTACTTTGTCCTGGAATTCCTGCGATCCGTAGAATTTCCTGAGCGCCTCCACGTGTGTGGGGCAGAGGGTCCAGCCGCGCAGAAGGGGATCCTGCGATGAGGGGACCGTGTGAATCGGTACGTGCGTGTGCCTGCACACACACAACACACGACACACAACACACAACACCCAACACATCTTGGCTTGGCTTGGCTCGCTCCCCCATTGCTTTGATGCTGAGGCGTACACGTATTGCAGCTGAGTGCCGTTGAGGAGCGATATGTTCCTGGTCGAGAGCTCCTGCGGGTAGAGGCCGTTGAGGAGCGCGTCGGCGCTGCGAAGAGTGCGGTCATAGTCTGACGAACGGACACGCAACTCACGAGCATAGTAATCCTGCACAAAGGAACCACACACACACACACACACACTGCTGATCTGATCTATGCATCGCATTCCCCGTACTTACCGTGTCGAGTATCTTGAAGTCATCGACGTATCGCCTTCTCAGGAAAGCGCCGAGCTGGTAGAGCTGCACCTCTCCCAGCATCGTCAGATCCGACGGCCCCTCCTCGCCCACATCCGTCTTGTACAGCGGCAGCCGGCCGCCGTGCCGATGCACAACCACTGCGCCCTTAACCTGCTTGTCACACCGCACCTCACCACTCATCAGGAGAGCGAGGCAGAGGGCGAAAGAATGTCGCATGGGTGCGACGCTGCGATGATAACTGCGGCAGCTGCGTGGCTGCTGGGTGGCGATGCTGCGACGCCGGGAGTTTGGTGTGCAGGCGGATCTTTCGGAGGCGATGTACCTGTCAGACGATGAGCTCGAGGGCATCGACCGAGCTGGATGGCCTTCGCAGCGCAGGGGATCTGCCAAACATTGACGCATGTATGCACCAGTTTGTTGTGCCCTCTGCACGCCTAGCTCGCATATGCCTTAGGATACCGTGAAACCGCTCTCTCCCTCGCCACTGCCCTTTTCAGATGATGATTTGTGCACTGCTTGTCAGTTCCTCTGTGTTGCTGCCGATCCATCCCGCCTTCTCCCGACATGAAGCGGCTTTCGCCCATCGGTGGCCGCTGCACCATCACAAGGCGATTGGAGTCCTTGATGGCGTTCACAGGAGGCCCAGCAGAGATCTGCCGCATTTCACAAGCCTACATGCCGATGGCAACGAGCGGGAGGTGATCAGCAGGCGGGTGACGGATCTGAGCGGCCTGATGAACACCATGACGCCCACTGCACGAGCGAGGCTGCAGACTGTCACGGCCGCAACCTTCGGCGGCCTTCTGGGCGGCGCTACTCAGCTTCTGTTCTATGTGCTCAACCACATGGGCTCCGTAGGTGTGTCGCCGGGCTTTGCTGTTAACACTGCGGCTGAGGTGCTTAGCGCTGGCGTGTCGGCGTTTCTGTTTGCAGTGGTATACAAGTACGTCAAGCTGGGGGCGGAGGGACGGCAAGGTCAAGATGACCAAGGCCTTATGCTGGATCCGCAGAAGATCTCGGATGGCGTGGTTGGCGCCTTTGCTGTGGTGCGCTTTGTGGCGATGGTTGATGCCGACGGCACGCTGGGGAAGCTCATTGGTGGTGCTGTCGGTATGGTGGGGGGGAGAGGCTCGGGTGAGCTGCCTGGTCTGCTGCTGGCGAACACTCTGGGGTTTGGGGAGTGTTTCGTGCTGTTCTATGTGTGTCGGGTGGGCCTTGATTTCATGGGGGAGCGGACCGGGAGAAGGACGAGAGACGGGCGGTGACACGATCAATGACCAGTGAACGACTTTATCTATGAACGAACGCAACGCGTCTTCGTTGATATATGCGATGGATGCTTAGGTCGTTTACTTATTGAGGTCCCTTCGCACACTCTCACTTCGGTTGGGGGGAGCATATATATGAGTGTGCGCACCAAGTGAAGTACCTACCGGCCAGACGCATCCATCATTTTGGATTGCACGGCACACGAGACGAGTACCAGCCAACCTACCTCCTCCCTACTCGATGTAGGCCGCCATCCTCGCCATCGCAGAGAGACAGCAGCACATTAGTGTCCGCCTGAAAGCTCAGGCAGGTCATGAAGGGATGGATAGACGGATGGACGGAGTGGGGGGCGGGTGTGCGCGCATGCAGCAGTGTCAACAACTCACTACATGTGATTTTGTCAAGTCACGCATGCCGAGTCAGCCAGTCGGTTACCCCACCCCACCACACACACATTCGCATTCGCATGAATCTGTCAGAACGCGAGACTGAACCTGTCTGTCATCCATCTGTTGGTGCGGCAAAATGTGTGTGTCCATCCATCCATCCATCCATCCGTCCATGGACTGCACCGACTTGCCACGAGCACACCACCAACACACTCACACACCCGATTCGGGCCGTCCTGTTCTGTCCTGTGCTGTGCTGTGCGGTGCTGCAGGGGATGCTTGGCATGCACCGCACACCCAACCAGCAGCTGCCCAGCACACACACGATCCGGTCGACTGGATACGCGTTTACGAAAAGCAAGCGTCAGCCAGATTCATATCAGCCTGCCTGCCTGCCTGCCTGCCGAGGCACGTGCACACCCCACCAGGTCGCATCGGGAAGCCCCCGGCCGCCGTGCCAGCTGCTGCTCCGGCGCCACCCCCGACACCACAGCCTCCGTCGGCTGCCCAGCGGCCCCAGCCACTCTTCCCCCCTCCTCTCCCGGACCGTCGTCTGGCTGCTGCTGCTGCTGCTGCTGCTCGTCGCCATCCTCTCCTTCCCCCTCCTCGGCCAGAGGCGGGAGCTGCTGCTGATCCTGACTGAGGCACACACAGGCAGGCAAAGAAGCCAGAGAAACGACATATGAATCACACCAGCTAATCAAATGCCGGTCCATCCATCCATCCACCATGGCCCCTGGCATGATGCACGTGTGCATACCTGTCGCTGCTGCTGCAGCAGCATGTCTCGTCCCATTTACATCAGTCTGTCTGCCTAAATCGCATCGTCATAAAAGACTTGCTCTAGTACCAGTCCGTGTGGCGGTGCACACACGGGGGGATTCGCACTCGTGGCCACCCGACCATCCCCCCTGGCCACCTGCCGCTTCCACACGGCATTCTCCAGCGCATGACGCACCTCGTCCACTGTACACCGATGCATGCCCACCTGAATGACGTTATGCAGACAGACAGACAGACAGACAGGAAGACAGGAAGACACAGTGGGTGGGTGGGTGGCTGGCTGACTGGTTGGCGGCTGGCTGGCTGGCTGACTGGTTGGCGGCTGGCTGCCAGTCCGCTGACTGACCTCGACAAGGGCACCTACAAGTCGGCGGATCATTTTGTAGAGAAAGCGGTTGCCATGGAACACAAACTGCACACTGTTCACACACAAACACACACAAACAGATATTGACTCGTGTGGCGTGCCTGACTGTGCGCTGGTTGGCGTCATCCTGACTGACTGACCTGTTTGGGGGGTCACTGTGGTGTCCCGACGGGTCGGGCACGATGGCAATCTGCGAGACTGTGCACACGGGGTCCACCACACGGTCCCTCTCAACACCGCTGTAAGCCGAACGAAACGCCTGGATGAGTGACGGCAGTGGAAAAATGAAAACAATCAGGTGCTTGAGTTGCCTTCGTCCCTTGCTCCTACCGAGAAGTCATGTGTGCCTGTGAGTGCCTCAGCCGCCTTGCCAACGGCATCCCAATCGACAAGCACTCGTGTGCCGTCGTCGCTGATGCTGCACTGCTTGCCGAGGGCCCGGTCTTCGCTTATCGCCCACCTATACCGACGCGACAAGGGGTCCGGCGGGACACCCAAATCCAACTGCAGGCAGCCACACAGGCAGGCAGACAGACATGTGAGCAGAGCAGGTGGGCAAGCAATGCAATACAATGCATGCCAACACATGGCAGTCAGTCCGCTGGCTGATTTCCCTCTGTTTGTCTGGCGGGCTATCTGACCGACCCACCGTGTATCGGTACTCCTTGCCTGCGGCAGAGGACGTCACGTGGAACTGAACAAACACACAGCACACAGCACACAGTACAGACGCACAGGAAGGAAACCATCCATCCATGGCTGGGTCCAATCATATGCTCACATCACATACGTACGTCTGCCCGCGGCGCCCTCGTGGCGCGCGCCACCCTGACATCCTCCGGCAGCAGTGCATTCAGAGAGCGACGAATCCGCTGAGGGTCGCCATCCATCAGGCTGAAGCCCTCCCCAAACCCTAGCTGCACCATCTGCCCCCTGGCGTGAACACCGGCATCCGTCCTGCTCGCCCCCCACATGAGCAGCTCCCACGGCTGCACGCGACCTCCACACAGCTGCGACACACACCGTCGTAGCTCCCCCTCGACAGTGCGGATCATCTTGGGCCGCCTCTGCTTCTTCCCCTGCCCTGGTGTGGGTGGCGGTGATGGTGATGGTGATGGTGAGGGACCGCCACTGCCATTGCCATCGCAAACATCGCCCTGGTTGATTGCTGCGTCGGTGGGGGTAGGCAGAGGCGTAGGAGGGGTGGTGTGAGGGCCGCCCCTTGCCGTCCACCCGTTGAAGTCCGTGCCGTCGTAGGCAACAGTCAGCAGCACCGCAGGAGCAGCAGCAGGGACAGCGGACTCATCAGTCATCGATTGCAGGCGCCGCGATGGCTGAATGCGTCGATTCTTCACTGACTGTTTCGTCAGTAGGGTGAATGCGGATGCCGACGAGGTCAAAAAGACGACAGACAGAACCACCACCAGGACAATAAGCGAAGAGTTCAGTTCATCCGTCCTCACGACCATCGATCAGATCAGGCACCCTCGCAGCCGGCAGCAGAGTCTGCAGGTCCCATCGGCCATTCCTTCATCAGCCCCAGCTTGTCCATCACGAGAGGCTGCTGCCGCAAGTCGTATCCATTGATGCGAACGAAGATCAGTTACAGTTTCGTGTACGGCACGCCACTCCTTATCCTTCTGAAGCCCCAACACGTTCATCCTCACCAGGAAAGTGAGACTGCAAAGCTCGCAAGCCCCCAGAGGCCCACATCGGTTCCCCCAGAACAAACAGGGATGAAGAGATACACATCGCTAGAGGCGATAGGATTGGGCGAATTCCCGCCAGGGCACCAGGCAAGCGATGGCATGCAGTCACTGCATCACTCACTCATTGTTTCGCTTCCCCGTCCTCATTTGTTCCGACGCACATCCCATGCAGGAGGACGGTAGCGGTGAGGAGGACCACAACCACACCAGAGCCCCCGGGCTGCCCGTCCCCTCCCGGCAGCAGCGGCAGCATCGGATGGAGGAGGAGCATCGGGCGACGGCCATGCGGCAGGAGGCCGAGAAGGCGTCACAGGAGGTGAGTGAGTGGGTCTGTTAGACCAGACCAGACAAATGAGGGAGGGAGGTGGACTTACAGCCATTCGAGAGGCACACAGACAGGCAGACAGAGAGAAGATAACACAGCCAGGTTGGGTCGGTGAGTCCACTTTGTGTCTTGTCTGTGGTTGTGTTGTGTACGTGGCTGGCATTTGCAGGAGGTGGCGAGGATGCAGGACCGCCAGCAGGCCACGGAGAAGCAGCTCAGAGCAGCACGGTCAGCTAAGCCACACACACACACATAGCCCTCATTTAAATGTTTGTGTGCGGTGTGGTGTGTGTGTCACCAGGTTGCACGAGCGGCATCTCAAGAGCAAGATCAGCCGCCAGGCTGAGGACATCCTCGATAAGGCGACTGAGATTGACCAGCTACGCAAACGCACTAGCAAGAGAACAAGGTACACACGGCACCCCCCCACCCTCATCCCATCCCCCGTGGAGACGCACGTCAATCATCTGGCTGGCTGTTGTGTTTGCTGGCTGCAGCGACGATACGAGGCCAGGGCGTCTAGCTGGAGTCTTGATGGCCTCACCACATCGTCTGGAGCCACTCAGTGGTGCGCATAACTCTCTCACTGACGGATGGATCATCGACGCGTATTTCACCTCTGCCCGTCTGTCTGTCTGTCTGTGTGTGTGTGTGTGATTGGCTATGGGTGTTGTGTTGGTCAACCAGACAGTCGACACCGCCCGGCAGACGAAGCCGATGACGAGGAAGAGTTTGAGGATGTGGGCACTCACTGCACACAGACAGACATCCAGACATTGACGCGGTGCAGCATACCGCTAACCGTGCGTGTGTGTGCGTGTGTGTGTGTGTGTGTCTTCAGGTCCATTTCCTCCCACACCCGGTCCACCCCAGTCGCCATCAGCGGAGCCCCTCTTTGCCCCCGCCAGGCCTCCCCAAGCTCAACTTGAAGGAAGTACACGAGGTACGCAAACAGGCCGTCCGTCACTCACCCCACCCACATAGCCACCAACACACTCATGAGTGGGGGTCTGTCTGTGTGTGGTGTCTGTCCTCAGGAGCGTGATCGCAACTACCCACGAGACCAAGTGGCGGCGGCAGCAGCCGGAGCGGCTCAGCCTGCCGGTGTTGGCGGTGCTGCAGGCAAGGGAGGCAGCAGCAGTGGCAGCAGTGGGGGTGACGGCAAAAATGGTGATGGCGACGTTGGTGCTCTGGCAGCCCCCAGCACACACAAACGGCAGGACACCACCGACAGACAGGTACACACAGCACCACGCAAAGAGGCTGGCTGGGACCGCTCTCTCTCTCTCTCTCTGTGTGTGTGTGTGTGTGTGTGATATGTTGTGGGCTGGGCAGGAGGGCGATGACGGTCATGTGGGCGCAGCCGGCGACGGCGTGAACGGGGGCACGGCGCGCTTCTACAAGCGGAAGTATGCCCTCATCAAGAGCCAGCACGACTCGCTCAAGGACATCTACCACATGCAGGAGCAGTCAATCACCAGCCTCAGGGAGCAACTTAAAGCCATTGACGACGACAAGGTAGGTGATCGCACAGCCATCCAGCCATCCAATGTGTAACTTGTGTTGTGATGTTTTGTGTAGGCCAAGGTGCTTGCCGCCAAGGACGAGGCGGCTGCCAAGGCGGCGGATGAGTGGTTCAAACTCGAGCACGTCCTCCGCACCACCATCGGCAAGCAGCAGCGGGAACTGGTACGCTACGCTACGCTAGGGCGAGACGACCAGAGAGATGGATGCATGACGTGGAGTGGATGGCATGGGCGCCGTCCTGTCTGTCTGGTGTGTGCAGGACATCGCAAAGGGGAAGCTGCAGGAGGCGGAGAGGCACAAACTCAATGACGCGGTCAGACAGCATACCGCAACACAGCACAGCACAGCACACCCAATGGATCTGATGGATGTCGGCTGTGTGTTTGGTGTTGTGTGTTGTGTTGCGTGCGTGCAGGAGGAGGAGCCACTCGGCTTAGGGCAGGTAATCAAGGAGGAGTATGAGGCTCTGAAGGCCCGGCTGAAGGCACTGCAAGACAACTACGCCAAATTGACGGAGGAAAAGGTGAGCCACCCGTCTGTGCATTCGATTGTGTGTCATGTTGGTTGGTGTCACGACGTGCCCTGCCTCACGCAGGAAAGTCTCGAGAAGGCGGCTGCGGCCAACGCGGACCTGGATGGCGGTCAGGACGACATACCCACAGGTGGGTGGGTGAGGAGAGGGGCAGACGGCACACTCAACGCCCCGACAGATAGTCATTCCACCTCTATGTGTCTGTGTCTGTGTGTGTGTCTGTGTGTGTGTGCATCTGTGCAGATGATGATTTGGCGCATTTGCTGTCCGACTGCGCTTTGCCGCCCGAGGTGACGGCCGTCGTCCGCAGGGTCGACGAAACGCTCGACAGAGAACAGGTGAGATGGGGCGGGGGTGTCTCCCATGACACCACGCACAGACATCACCCCACAGTCGTCACACGGTCATTGTGGTCATTGTGGGGTGTGTGTTCTCTCCGTGTTGGCCATTCCGTCCGTCGATCAGGTGCGTGCCGACCGGCTGGCTGAGGAGGCCGCGAACCTGCGCAAGATGGCCGAGCAGCAGGTATACACACACGCCGCCGACACACAGACGGCGGGGCGGCAGGAGCTGACAAAGATGCAGGAGGACCAGCTCAGCCATACCGGGGACTACTCGGCCATGCTCAACGTGTAAGCTGACATCGCAGCAAGCCAGATCACACATAACATGCCACGCATCACGCGTCCTTTGTCCGGTGTGGTGTGTCGGTGTGCAGCAACAATGCCATGCAGGAGGTCGCTCGCCGCAGCCAGGACGACGAGCGCAGCACATGGCTGCAACAGGTGAATCCCGTCATATGCCGAGAAGATCCCTGTCATCACTTTCACTCTCCCCCTCCCTCGCCTATGTGTGTGCAGATGGCAGCGCTGCAGAGTGAGAGGGACAGTCTACAGCGGGAGAACGAAGGGCTCGAACGTACGCAAGCGTGCACAATGGACAATCGATGGATGGCATTTCGCCCACATCACATGTGCGTATCTGATGCCAACCGCGCGAATGGGGGGATGCAGATGACAGAGCGGAGCTGATACGTGTGATTCGGGCATGCGAACAGCACCTCAAGGCTGCCGCATACCTCTCGCACGATCACAAAGGGTTCAGACTACCCACAAGACCTGTAAGCTGACCACTCACCCACACAAACAGATAGACATACATCTGTGTGTTCACACGCATCGCATCTGTAGGGCAAGGCTCCCCCAGTGCCCCCCACGATCCCTGCTGGCGGTGTCCCGGTGGCAGGGGCTGCCCGAGTGGTCAGCGACAAATCGCAGATTCTGGTACGTTACGTGGGGCAGACAGACATTGGAAACACACGAGACACTCACTCACCCATATGTGGGCGTGTGTGGGTGCCGTGCCCTCGGTGTTCCTGCATCCACCAGGGCCGTGCCATGCGTGGGGGCGCCAGCAGAGGCGAAGGCCGGTGGCCATCCGCTGGCGGATCGCATTTCACCAACGGCAGGAGACAGCAGCAGGTGTACAGGCAGACCTCACAAACATACACAAACAAAGACAGCCCCCCATCGCCCTATCTGTCTGTCTGTCTGTCTGTGTGCCGTGTGTGTATGTCAGGCGTCGACTAGTGGTGGCCGCGGTGCGAGCATTGGGGCGGTTCTGGGGCACAAGGCTTCCCCTGCTGCAGCCATCTCCACTAGCCCTGGCGCCAGGGTGGCTTCACGTGCAGACGGCGTCAGCGTCGACGGTCGCATCGCCACGCCCCCCACAGACGCTCACACAGACGTCACGGCACGCGCCACGAAACAGCGGGCGGCCGACACGACTGACGACAGCAACATGGCGGCCGCCACTGTGGCCAAGAAGACCTCTAAGCAGCGATCGGTCACAGCTAGTGCAGCTGGTCGGAGAAAGCGGCCCTCCCCGCCACAGACAGCCGATGGTGCTGTTGGTGTTGAGAGGGGTCATGGCGGTGAGAATGCCGCGATGATCGGACCAGGTGTCGGCATCCGCACAGGAGGTGAGAGAGGGAGGGAGGGAGAGAAGGAGGGAGGGGGAAGACGCGAACACACATTCGTGTGTGTCACTGGCGCATGTGTGTGTGTCGTGCAGGTGGTCGAGGTGACCGTCTTGCTGCGGTGGCCGGCATGATGAGGGCATCCGACACCGAAGCCCTCCGCCCCTTCACCGCCCCAACAGAATCGGACGCGCCCAAGACACTCGCATTCACACAAGACCACCGTCAGAAGACCGCCCCAGTGGTCAAGAGAGCCTACGGCCCGCGGCTGTCGATTGTCATGACGCGCATCGCTAACGAGCCGCCGTCATTTGACGTGGCCAAGACGCGCCTGCCGGTGGTTGGGGAGGGCGCAGATGTTGATTTGGAGGCCGACAGGGTGGGGGCTCGGCTGTGGAACGGCAAAGGCACCCCGCCGGTCGTCCACCACACCTTTGCCGAGCACCATGTGCACCACCCCAAGTGCGGCCCCCTGACGCCCGCCAACGCACTCAAGCTCAAGCTGCAGCAGGCGCAGACACCCAGTGGATGGGATACCGACAAACGTAAGGATGCAATCAATGTCGAGAGAGGGAAAGGAATAAGGTCGCAATATAGAAATCATCTGTCTCTCTGTGTGTGTGCATTGTGTGTGGCAGGTGCTGTTGGTGTGTTGATGAGCGGCCACCGGCATTCGTCGTCCCACCGGTTACTGTCACCGCCCCCTTTTGATGCCCATGGTGCATCATCGGCCACCATGCCGCGACGCGTTCCCGACCTGCGCCTCCCAGCCACACTCTCATCGCAATCACGACACCATCACCAACGTCAGCAGCAGCGATTCCCTCCTACAGCCGCCCCGCAGCCGCCCCATGTCATGCATGCCTTCGCACCCCCGCCCAGGCCTCCCTATGCGACCATCGGCCAGCCCATCTTCGGTGCGCTGCAGCCACACATGGTGATGATGGCCACTCACACGGGCGGCCCCACCGCTCTGTGAGTGAGTGGAGGCCAGACACGTAGGCGGCTGTGGTGTCGTTCGTCGGGCACCGAGAGTCGGGCGCAGGAGGAGACGGTCTCGGTGCGTAGTATGGTTGGTATTTGTGGCGGGCGGTTCTTGACGTGGCTGAGGAATTCCTGCATACCCGATGTGCTATCCAATTGCCTGGGTGGGCTGCTGGTTGCAATGCCATGCATGGGAGGGAGACTGACACAGTCGAGTCAAGACGGCTGGCTGATGAATCAATCGATGGACGCTTACAATGCATCAAGTAGCTACAATGCATCAAGTAGCACGTGATGCATGGATGGATGGATGGATGGACAGACGGTTTTAGTGCCACGTCGCTTCTGGCCAGGGGGTTTTCAAAAGGGGTGATGGGTCAGGTCGTTCAGGTTTTCAACCCTGAACCCTAAAACCCTCTGAAGCGCTGATCCACACGTTTTCATTGCAGGAGTGTGCCACAACCCTTCATTGGCCTCAGTAGCCCTTGATGCAGCGGCCTCTGCCCGATACCAACATCGTTGTCGACTACTTCGGTCCAGTGAGGGGCGGGCCTCACGTCTATTTCCTCACTCACACCCATGCCGACCACCTGACGGGGCTGAGCAACCAATGGGGGGGCGGATTCATCTACTGCTCTCCCGTCTGCTGCAAACTCCTGCTTCAGAAGTTCCCACACCTGCAGCCTCTTCTGGTGAGAACACACACTTCTGGTGAGAACCAGAGTCAACAAATCACTCCCTGCTGTCACTGCACTGCATTCGTGCGTCTGTGTCCGTCCATCTGCGTGTGTGTGGTCTTTCAGGTTCCACTAGAGCTGAATCAGATCTATCGGCTCAGCACCAACGAAGCAAAGCTCCCCCCGTTCCAGCCGCCCTCCTGCGTGCCCATCGCATCACCCTCCGCCGCAGCGCCACCACCACCACCACCACCACACGACAAAGACAAAGGTGGCCCCACCAAGCACAACCGGCCTTACTGCCGCACGGATGCCGACGTGGACGTGATGCTGGTCGATGCCAGCCACTGTCCGGGCGCCACTATGATATGGCTCCAGTCGCCGGCCTTCGGGTCTTACCTGCACACGGGCGACTGCCGCTACGAGCCGCCACGGGCGGCGAGGGGGGAAGGGCGAGTGCATCGCCCCATCGACCTGACGACACCGCCACCGGCGGATGGCGGGTGCCGCATGACCCGCGACCTTAAGACCATCTTGCGGCTGTCGTCCGATTTCCAGCCCTCGGTGCGTGAGAGGCGGCGGGAGGAGGCAGCCAAGGCACCGGCGGTGATATCTGTCGATGGGGAGAAGAGTGACGATGATCGCGGGCTGGGCGAGATGGTCACTCTTGGTCTCGGTGATAGCGATTGGCAGGAGGGGGAGGGGGAGGGAGGGCTGCCGATAGCTGGAGAGGGAGATGGTGGTGTGGGGCGGCGGCGTGAGCGGTGCGTGATCGACAACCTGTTTCTGGACAACACATACTGCCACCCCGGCTTCGACTTCCCTGCACGAGTGAGTGAGAAAACTGGGAGGGGCAGGGGGAGGGGGAGAGGTCGGAGGTCGCTCGGCTCCATTCATTCATTCATTCATTCGTGGCTGGATGTGTGTGCGTGTCGACCGATGTTGGTCAGGCCGAGTTGGCGAGGGAGGTGGTGAACATGCTCAAGTCCTATTGGCCATGCATTGCCATTCTGGGGGTGAGGAAGGAGCCGGACACACACAGTGTCGGCATGCAGCAACAGCATCCTCTGTTTGTTCTTCGTCTGCCGTCTGCAGATAGACACCCTCGGCAAGGAGGACCTTCTCTGTGCAGTTGCAGAAGCCCTCAACACAAAGGTGACTGAATCGACGTCATCCACATCACATGTGCACTCACTCGGTGGGTGTCGGCGGAATCTCCGTATCGGCCTCTTTCTCCTCAGGTTGAGGTGTCGCAGAGCCGCCTTGACACGATAGCCGACGCTGGCTTCCCTCCGCAGCACTTCCAGGCGTACGACGCGGCCGACAACGATGGTACGTCCTTGATTGAGCGCCCACATGTTGAAAACTACTTTCCTGCGGTGTCGTGTGCCTGCAGTTGATACGGACAGCAATAATGGTGCTGATGCGGATGTGCTGCCGTCTGTATCTGACGCCACAACGAGCAACGGAGCAAACGACATTGGTGCTGCGTCGTCCTGTGGGCTCGTGCGTGCCGTGTCGCGACAGACACTCAAGAAGACAGTCGAGTAGGCGGAGGGAGCAACGGTCTGGTCTGTCGACGCATGGACACGAACGTGTAACCTAACCTGTGCTGTGTGTCTGTTGTGCGTATCGTTCAGGCGCTACCAGGGGAAGACGGCCCTTCCAGGTTTTATAGCAGGGAGGGACACTCTGTTGCTCGACGCCCCGCCTGTATAGAAGTGTCATTCATGTGTTTGTTGGTTTCAGTGCTGGGAGTGCTGTTGACGGGCTGGTCGGCCACGTACGTGCCGTGGGAGCGCCAAGGCACAGAGATCGTGGTACGGTACGACGATAGATACTAACGGGCCTTCCACATTACATATATTGTGCACGTAACTTTTGTTTCTCGTTCGATCAGAGAGTTCCCTATTCGCTGCATTCGTCCTATCCAGAGCTGTGCGAGCTCGTCAGGCTCATAAGGCCCAAGTAAGTCATGATCGCGTGACGACCACAAGCCACGGCCACACTCACCTTCCTTCCACATGCCCGCCCGTCTTTGCTGCACCGCACCCACAGGAAGGTTACCTTCACCGTGCCCCTCCCCTCACAGCCACAGCCACAGCCACCCAACCCCCAAAAGCAGCAGCAGCAGCAGCAGCGGTCTGAGCAAAAGGGCAGCGAGCAAGATGAGCAGCCACCCATGCAGCCCATATCTTATTCCTACGACGGCACAGAGGGCATCAAGTATGTACCAACCAAAGCGTCAGCCACCCCACCCACAACAACCACACAGACCCATTCTCCCTCCCTCCCCTCTGTTTGTTGACTTCATTCATTCAGGGCGTTCATGGCCGCATGCGACCTCTCCCACGTCACTCTGGGTGCGGGCCGAGACCAGCCGCAGAGAGTGGGGAAGAAGCGCCGACGAGCCTGGCAGCCGTGGCTGCCATATGTGTCAGCGCTGTTGAGGCAAGGTGACAAGGGGGACAGTCGCTTCCCCTGGTACGTTCCGACGTGGAACAGGGGCATACAGCACGCCCCACCGAGAGAGCAGGAAGACCAGGACGAGTGAATTCGAAAAAAGATAGACAGGGGGGCGGCGTGAGCAGGAGGGAGATGCATGGCATATGTGTGTGTGTGTGAGTGTGCGTGGGTACGTTGCCTGTGCAGACAGACAGACCAGTGCGTGCGTGGCTGATGTGGATATATGGATAATATGGATGAGACAGAAGATGGACAAAACGACGAAACAGACGGACTGTTGCGATTTCCGCATGTCGAACGCTAAGCTTCATCTGCGATGCTGGCTGGTCTGCTGCTGCGACAGTCCTTCCAGCCGTGTCATGGCCTCCTCCTCACTGATTCCCCGACGAGGCTGAGGCTGCGTCGGTGGTGTGAGCCAGGCCGCTGCTGGTGAGGGCCCGCCTGCGGGGGGAGGTGAGGGTGCGGTGGGTGTGAGTGTGGCAGGGGCCTGCTCCAACTCATCGATACTCGCGTGCAACCGCTTCCGCCAAGATGAAGGGGCCTGACGCGCCGTGCCTCTGCAGACACAGAGATGAGGGACAGCGCATCCGCCAGGACCGCCTGTTGGCTCTTTGTCTCTCGCCTGCACTGCACTTACGCCTCGGTGCGTCCCTCCGGCGAACGGGAACGCCTCCCTCTGCATGACCACATCAATGCGTTGACCATGGGTGATAGGTGTGTCGCGTGTGGAGTGTTTCTCGGTGCCTACCTCCTGGGTGACTCTGATCTGGATGATCTCGAGTATCTGGACTCCCGCCTCACCTCGCTCTCCCTGATGATTTTAACGAGACACCACGGCATATATCCTGTCCTTCCCTCCCTTAATTAATCACTCACCATAGGCGGCCGAGCGAGACACGCCCGTGCGGCATGGGATGTCTGCCATTCACAGAAAAAGACACGCGACACAACTCAAGACGGACGTCCTTTTGGGACTGAAGCGACCGACCTTGGTGTTCCTTCTTCTTCTGACTCCTCCTGCTCCTCTGCAGGTTTGGTCTCGTCTGGCGGTGTCTCTGACGCTCTCGGCTGCAAACGGAGAAGCTTGGCCTTCAGCCGCTCTGTCTCCCTGTCCTGCTTGGTGCTCATCCTTTGCAGCGCTGCCTGATGGTCCTCCTCTATTGTTCGAAGCCGCCTGCATGACAAACAAACAGCAGCCCTGTTCTGATCGATATGGAAGCGATTGTTTCGAGCTGACTGACCGATCGTAGTCCTCTTGCAGGTCTCTTAAGGCCTCTTTCAGCTCGGCAATCTTCCGCCGGTCGCTGTGCAGCATAAAGGCAGACAGGATGCCGAATGACGTGTTGCGCTATTTTGATCGATATGCAATCGTCTGTCCTTACGAGGCCTCCTTTGACTTCCTGGTTTCGAGCTCTCTCTCAAACTCGCCCACACGCCTGAACAAGCCATGGACACATCCATAATTAGCTGTCGACATCAACGCCTGGCATGTGACACAGACTTTCGAAGCGACGACTGGGCTTTGTCGAGCTCCTCCAGGTGTGAGTCCTTCAACACTTGTACCTCTCTGCATACCATCCATCAGAGGTACAGATGTATGTCAGTCACCGGGTGGACCAATGATAGCCGGCCACCTCACCTTCTGTGTTGGCGCTCCTGCTCGTCCATTGCGATGTCGTGCTGCGATTCCATGTCCCGAAGACGCCTGTTGAATGAATGGACGGATTCAGACGTGCATTCTCACAGTCGGTGTCATGTGCTTTGCGCACCGCTCATAGTCAGCCCTCATTACGTCCTGGGTTCCTGAGTCTGCAAGCTGCTTCTTGACCTCGTTCAGCTTGCTGCAGATAGGCATGCGAGACGAAGGATGAGCACTGTTCGCCTGGAGGTCGGCTGCCGTGACTTTTGTGACCTGCGGTAGGTCTCCTCCAGCTCTTCCTGTTGTCTCTTGACGGCTTGCAGGTCTCTCTTGGTTGCGGCGTCTTTCTCGTCAAGCGCCTTCTCGTAGTCCCGCTCCACGCTCCGCAGCTTCCTGATCATGCAAGCTTCCTGAGCACTACTTCGCAACTTGTCACCACTTACTGATCGACGTACCTCTCCCACTCAGCGTTGACAGCAGAGCTCTTGTCGGCGGCTTCTGCGTCTTTGAGTTTCTTGATGAGTGCTGCCATGTCCCTCTGGTGCTGCTCTCTGAGCTCCTCGAGGGCTGCGTGGTGCTTGGCCTCCAGCTCCCGCATCTGCTTCCGGGCCGCGCCGCCCACCTCCTCGATCTCGTCCGTGTGCTTCCGCTTCAGCTGCTGCGTCAATCTGAATGGCAGACAGACACGTACACGGTGTCTGGATGAGACGCCTGCCGCCTGTCTGTCTGTGTGTGTGTGTGTGGCGTACCTTTGTATTTCGTGCTGCTTCCCACCCGTGCGTCTTGCATCTGCAACTCATACGACCGCTGCAGAGATGTAATCTTGCTGCGCGGTCAATACACAGATACACACACAGACAGCCCATAACCATTTTGATGGATTGGCCGGTCCGTCTGTCATCTTGTGGAGGGCAGATAAGCGACACTCACGTCTCATAGTCTTCTCTGATGCGGGCAATAGCCTTGGCCTGGCTGTCTTGTTTGTCTTGCAGGCACGCCTCCAGCTCAGCCTTCAGCCGCCGAATCTCCTGGCCAAAGGGGATCAAGACAAATCAGCCATCAAGTCGTCAATGTATGCATCATCTGCTGACCTCTTCTTGTTTGGCAGTCTGTCTCTCCAGCTGTCCTCTCTGCGCCACCTCTTGGTTCAGATCGCTGCGAAGTTTGAGCATCGTCCGCTTCAGCCTGCCCACCCAGAGAAGACACACACGCACACGGCTGCACATAGCAAGCAGACTCCATGTGTGAGTGTGCACGCTGACGTGAGCGTCTTGTCGAAGGCTTCTTTGAGGAAGGAGAGCTTCCGCAGGCCGCCCTTCTGCACCTCGTCCACTGCCTGCAGCAGTTCGTAGAGGCCGGTAAGGGCTTTGTCCTTCTCGCCCACCTCGAAGCTCTCAATGACGTTGGTGACTTTGGATCTGAGGTATTCGAGGGCCTCGCGCTCCTTGGAGGCATCCGCAGCACCGCCGTCAGACAGTCGCATGGGATATAGCAGCACAGAGTCCCTGTTGGTGTGTATGTGACACACAGATAGTCAATACAGGCGTAGAGACATCTGCGGCTCATGTGTGGTCTCAGGGCACTTGCTCGTTTGGGCAGGTTGGTCGCCCGCCGCGCCTCCAAGCTGTCGCTCGAGCTCGGCAATCCGCTGGTCACGAATTCTAAATAGACAAGATGGCCAATTAGACAAGAGCAAGGATCGTCTTTGCAAAAGACCTGATTGCCTTCTGCGCCACGTCTTCGTGTTCCATCAGCTGGCGGTCGAACATCTCACGCGACTCTTTCAACACCTGCTCACATGGGACACACGACATACGACAAGGAAGATGGCAGAGACGAGGGCATAGATCTTGCCTCGGGCAGCTCTTTGGTGGCAGTGTCGCCTGTCGGTTCCTTATCAACAATCCTGCTGAGCTCTTCTTTGAGATGCCGGAGCTTCATCGTCATGGCCGAGGTCCGCATGCGGCCATCCTCTGCCAGCCAGGCGGGCACAGCTGGGTCGTCCATGAGCATGTGCAGACCGTGGGTGCTGCTCTCAAGGACGGCGAGGTGCACCTGCTGCTGGCTGACGGTCATGCGGATGGCCTCCTGATGGTTTTTTGCCAATGCCTCCTGCTCCTTGACGGCGCTCTCTCGAGCACTGTCGACCTGCGCGTACGCCTGGCCCAGCCGTCGTCGCAGCTCCTCATTGTCCGCCTCGAGAGTGATTCTCAGGCTTGAGAGGTTCAACACCGTGTCCTTCCTCTCTGAGAGATCTTCCCTCAGCCTCGCCACTGTGTCGTCGAACTGCCGCCTGTCTGCCTCGCGGAGGGCCCGGGTTTCCTCGAGTTTGCGTTGAGTCGCTGAATGGCCAACTGGGAGGACTCCTGCTGCAGAGCTGTGTCCTCGTCGATCCGCGACAGCCGCCTCTCCAGCTCGGCGTTCCTTCTCTTCTGCTCCTCGATATCCATCTCTTGCCTCTTCACCGTGTCCATCTGCCATTCATGGAAACACAGCATCCATCCATCAGTCACTCTGTGAATGCATGTGTGGATATGGCTTACGAGTCGGGCGCGCTCCGAGTCTCTCAGCTCCTGCAGGCTGTGCTTCTCGAGCGACCGGCCTTCTTGCGTACGGTGGAGGTCTTCCAGTGTCTCGTTGTATAGCTTTTGTAGGTGCTCCCGCTTCTGCTGCTCGGCATCGAGCTGCCTCTCTCCATCACGGAGCTCACCCTTCAGCCGCTCTGTCTCGCGTCGGGCCTGCGCAAACGGACACAGCAACAACGTGTATTGTGGTCCGCTCTGTCCCCGTGAGTGTTTGTGGGGATGTGTGTTTCTCCTCTCACTTGCCGGTCCTGTTGTGTCTCGAGAAATTGCAGGCTATCGCACTTGACCTTGAGTGTTGCATTCTCGTTCTGCAGCTCTACGAGGCGCTTCTCGAGGGTATGCAGACGACCGCCGCCGTCACCCTCCTTCATGGCCTGCCATTTCTGCCGCTCTCTCTCGAACCGCTCGCTCGCCTCACGCACAAGCTCCAACTCACGCTGAAGCTGAAATGCAGGTCCAATGAGGAGCTGTCTCCTTGTGCCTGCAATTCGCTGGTGGCCACTTACCTGTTTGTCAGGTTTTGCCTCCTGCAGGCTCCTCAGCTGTTTAGCAAGTTGTGCCTTGGAGGCCTGCACCTGCATGAGCTGATCTACCAGCCTCTTCGACCGCCGCTCTTCTTCAAGCGCGGTCCTCTCCAGGTCATCACGGGACGCCATCTGACGTCGACAACAACATAGAGGACGAGTGTAGGCGACACACACACAGCCAAACGAACCATGGCGGAGAAGAGCCTCTTGTTTTGCCGCTCGATGGAGTCGACAGTTTTGGCGAGGCGCTGCCTCTCCTCGTCCAGCTGCTGCCTCGTCTCATCGAAGCTCTCGACATCCAATTCCGCCGGGATCTCCACTCTACATACAGAGGAAAGAACCACACAGGGGCAACGAACGACCTCCACGAGTCGAAAGGCGGCTTTTACGGGGCTGACCTCTGAAGCCGCAGCAGCAGGCGACTCCTCAGTGCTTGCAAGTTGGAGAGCCATCTCCTGCCGAGGCACACACACAGCCCCTGTCCAGTCCATTACGGTGAGATCACCTCTCTGCTACCTACCTGACCAGCGCTCGATGATCCTCCTGACCCTCACGCCCCCATGACGGCGGTGCTGACGGCATGTGCAGGCCTTCAAGCCCCCTCTCCTCGTCCAGATCAGGGGGAGGGGCGGCCGCCTCGCTTCGCACCTCACTGTCCACAGGTCTTAGACTTGCAGACGAGGGCCGCATCGGGAGCCGCCCCTTGGGCCTTGCAGTGGCCTCTTCGGGTGGGGACTCCCTGGCTGAGTCGTAAGAGTCTGGAGAGGCTTCCATCAGCCTCTCATCTTCTTCGACTGCCCGAGGCCCGTGCCGGTCTTCCTCTTGATGGCGTTCTTCTTCCAGCTGTGCAAGTCTGCCTGCTGACGGTCCCTGGAATGCATCATAGCCTCCAACTGCAGGCAGCAGATTCATTCCGAGACTGGGGGAGAGGGAGGGGCGGAGCGCCCCCACCTTTTCCACGAACTTGCCAGTGCTCGGGGGTGGCGTGCACCACCATCCAAGGTGGAACGACGCCAGAGAATCGCAAAATCAAAGATCTCATCGGGCGGCAATCTGTATGTAAGATGATTCTGTGTGTTGCCCATGTCTCTCGCCCGCAACAACTCCGCTCAAATATGGCGGGTGTGTGCTACTCCGTTGACCAGTGTGAAGCAGTCAGTTGACATCGTGCAGAGAGACACGGATTCGGTCCATCATGCACCACATAAGCCATGGATGCAGCACATGTAAGGGGGTGTCCACACATCCACACATCGATCGATCGATACACCGCATCTGTACAAATACCGATCGTATGTATACTGACTGTGATGGATGGGGTCACCGTGGCCATGCCCTCGTCTCGCATAATTGCTAGCTACTTGGCCACTGCTGTGCTGTGCTGTGTGCTCGGCGGCGCGGCGTGCATGGGCCGGGCTGCCTGTGCGCCCGTGGTTTGCGGAAGCGCGCTTGGAAGCATCGGGAAGGCACACGGTCATGCGCGCCTCTCCTTCGCCCGGGTCGCTCCCCCACTCCACCGGCGCACAGACAGGGCCGACGCCCAGGCACCCGCCCCCTCACCAGCAATAAACACACACCGCCCATCCATCCATCCATCCATTCAGCCACATCTCTCGGCGTGTTTGTGTGTCTGTCTGTCCTACGGAGAAAAGTGTGTGTGGCTTCAAAGGAGTATGTTGTCTTAGTGTTCATTGCGGAGGACGATGGCATAGCGACCGTGAGCTCATACAGTAAGCACACCGCAATGAGAGAGAGACACACACACAGACAAAGCAGGCAGGACTCCACGCACAGCACCGCAGCACCATACCCCCAGTCACGCAGATCAAGAATGGGCTACTCAATAAAGTCGTACCCATCGTCAGCACGAAGCCATTCCATCAGACTCAGACACACACACACACACACACACACACGCCCCACACCGATGGCGAAGAGACGGACGGGTGGGCGGGGCAAGGGCACACAAAAAAGGTTGGGAGAGAGAGATAGATGTGTGTGAGAGGGCATAGGCAGGGAGGGTCCTAGCGAGCTAAGGCAGCAAGACAACAAGGCAACATGCCCCGCCGCATTAGTGTCACCAAGGGCGGGTACACGGAGCCGGTCGAACAGGGGGCGGGCACACACGCGTGCAGGCAAGACAGACAGGCAGCGTCTAGTGAGACCTCCAAAGACAGAGAGACAAACCGGAAACTTAAACCTCAGCATCCATCCATCCGTCCATTTCAGACAGCCAGACAGCACAAATAGCCGCTTGATCCGTCAATCAAGAGCGCGATACGTCATACCAGAGGAAGACAAGGCAAGGCAAGACAAGGCAAGAGCATCCGTCCACCCCGCCGCGTCGGCACATGTATTGTGTGTGTATGTATGTGTGTGTATATGTCGGTCAGTCGTCGAGTGCGATGTGTGTGAGGTTGACGCACTTGGAGTCGCCACACGCCATCGCAAACGGCTTCTTCGGCTTCTGCAAAACAGAAGTACCCGCAACACACACAGGGTGAGGTGACAAGACGCCATCCGGTGGCTCCCCCTTCCTCGGTTTACCTCCTGCAGCTCGTTGAATGAGTCGTCATCTGCACATCCAAACACACACACAGCGGTCGGGTCGACGACAGTCCCCTCTATCATACCACATCTCATGTCCTCCTCGCCACCCACTCACCAGCGAAGAGGAACACGAGCACCCGGTTGACGTATGTCTGCGACTCGACCGTCTCGCCGGGTTTGGTCATGCGGATGACGGGCCGCTTGTCCTCGCTGTGCAACATCCCCTGCCATATCACGCAACGGTCGTCGCTGGAGAGAGATGGATGGATGGATGGATGGATGGATGGATGGATGGATGGAGGCACCGATGGATGGCAATACCAGACACACACACACACACACACAGTGAGTTGACGGCCTGCCTTGCCTTCGCCAGCTCTCCGCTTACCCCAGCACCGGGTCTGCCGTCTTCTCCACGCCACGAGCAATCTGAGCTGCACAACGCATCGCACAGAACACACACCAAAGCACATGTCATGCATTCATCCGTCTGTCTCCTGACCGGTGACCGATTCCTGTCTGTCTGTCTGTGTGCTGTCTGTGCTGACATCCATGCATTGCATACCAAGTATCTGATAGAGCACGTCCGAGGTCTGCCAGAAGGACTTGGCCCTGGGGTGCACGTAGTTCTCCCAGGCCCGGATGAGCACCTGAATCTCCTCCACCGACCGGATCTGCCCCTTCTTGCGCCCCGTCCCTTCATCGGCCGCACTCAAATCAGTGTCGACGGTGGCCTCAGACTGCTGCCCGCTGCGCTGGCTGCCCCGCTGCCGCGTGCGAGAAGGGCCCTGGCCTGACCGTCCCTCGGCGCGACTACTGTCATCCTAGAAGCCGAAGAATGCCGCAAACGGAGTGTGGGAACACACGCGGCAGTTGCGGATCCACGAACCCATCGCTACCTCCAGTTATTTGGTGCTCCTCATTCTCCGCCTCATCTGAGCTCGCAAAGAGTTGCCTCTTCCCCCTCCTTTTTTCGGGCTTGTTGGAGCCGTCATCGATGCGGCAGTGACCGGCGAGCCGTTGGCGATGGTTTGAAATCATCTGTGCGTCAGCATGTGCACGAGATGGCGGCGCTTCCTGCTCGTCCTTGCCGCCTGGCTCCCTCATCTCTTCGTCCCCAACACCGCCAGCAAGAAGCATCACCACTCTTACTCGAAGTCCGACAAGCAGCGGCCGGCAGCGCCACGGTACCACACAAAGGAGGAGAGCCCTGTCGGCTGCTCGAGGGCGGTGTCGCGTTGGGTGCGCGCGGCGCTCCACGAGTACATCGTGCCTCAGGCCAAGAAGGTGGTCGGCTTCAAGTGGCCGCCCAAGTGCGGGATGGACCCCGATCACGACTATTACCACTACCAGGAGTCGCAGAAGGTGAAGCTCAAGAGCGGCCACTACCAGTGCAGCCTCTGCAAGAAGCTCTTCCGCACCGAGTACTACATCGACGTCCACATGGACACACGGCACCCAGACAGCATCAACAACGCCACCCACTGCCTGGCCGACCTCTGCGAGGTGTTTGACGTCTGCAATGGGCCACCACACAGACGGCGGAAGCCCACGAGCGTGTGTGACGAGCACAAGCTGGAGGCGGCACACGAGTTGTGTGACAGGGAGGTCACTCGGTGCTTTCCCCTCTCGTCGACCGCCCGGCTGCTGCACGTGGACGTGAGGCGGCGGTACTGCTCCCACCTCAACTGCAAGGACTGGCTTGAGCGGCACAGGAGCCTTCATCAGGAGACGTCGCACACGGTGGTGGTGGCTGTGGCTGTGATTGTGATGGTGGTGGTGCTGGGATTCGTCGCCATGTGCCTGCTGCAGGTGGGGGAGCCGGTCGATGAGGATGTGCACGGCAGCCAGAGGGCGCACCAGCAGCAGAAGCAGCAGTTCCGAACCTTCAAGGAGATTGTGGGCAGACAGAGGAAGACCAAACCCATCTGATATGATTGATGACGATGCTGTACGTGTCCGTGTGTCCGCGAGGGAGGGATTTATCTGTCTGGGGTAAGGAGTGAGCAAGCCTTTTGACGCCGGCCGGCCATGTGTGGGTGTGTAGGCGGGAAGGGGGGTGCATGTCAGTGTCAGTCGGCGGTTTTGTCGGTCTCTTTGTTCGTTGTGTGGACTGAACGGACGGACCGGATCATTTAGTGACACTCTACGTACATCAACACGCCTCCTTTGAGTCGCCCAAATGCAATGAATGCTACACTCATCTGACTGACGTCCACCACATCCGCTCGATCCGCAAAATCGTCTCTAATGGGTCAGGACGGATGCAGTACTCTCAGGCAAAAGCACCAATGGATCGGTCAAGCAAGTCGCGTGGGGTGTGTTGGTCTCTGCTGCTGCTGGTCTATCTGATATCACGCGCCCTCACGCCCAGCTGCATAAGTGGAAGACTCTGACATCTCCACTGCGCGACCAGGCGCGACGGAACATCACGCAGACATACTCCACCAGCAGCACAAAACAACACCACACCGCACCACCATCATCATGCTTCACTTCAGGCCTCCTCTCTGCACACACCACGTGGTCATTTCTCACCCATCATTGGCTTGCTCTACCTCACCCATCCACCCATCCCTCCCTCCCTCTCTCCCGCCGTCCTAATGCACGCAAAAACGCCGCACATCACATTCCAACAGCAGCAGCAGCAGCAGCGGTTCCGCACACAGGCATGACAGGGCACAAGCCAAAAGGGGGCTCGAGCAAGGCAGCAGAGGCAGGCACGGGTGAGTGAGTGTGTGCGAATCCAGCCCGCGATCGATTGATAGCTACAAAGCCAGGCGCGCCACCACATGGCCGGCTGGATGGGTGGATACAAGAGCGAGGGAGAAAGGTAGGCTGCACTTTGTACGTATATGTGCGTCGGGAGGGGAGTGGGTGAGCGGATGAGTGACGTAGACGCCCTGGACGACACACAAGCAAGCAAGTAGCTTGCCTTGCTTGCCCCATATGTCGTCCAGTTGGCCCACGCCTGGCATCCGCTCACTAACACACCCACCATCCATCCATCCTTCTACTCCAGGGTACCTACCGCTCTTGCACTGCACCGCTGTGTCGGTGTCTGTCTGTCGGTCTGTCGGTCTGTCTGTCTGTCGACCCATCACAAATACAGCTGGTATATATGTACACGGATCGATGCATCGTCCATCCCGTGTGCGGTGCGATTGAAGGCAGAGAGTGTGGGGCACATGTGTGCGTCTCAGTAAGCCAGCGAGTAAGAGCAAGTATGTAAGTCCTCTCTTCACCCCCTCGTCTCTCTCTCTCTCTCTCTGTCGTCCGCTGTCTTGTGTCTTCTCCGCCGCTCGTTCGGCCGGTCGTGTGGTTGCGGCTGAACCGTTGGCGCATCCAGCACATCACAGATCCGCTCTTGTTTTCTGAACGAACACCAGTGACGCGACTGATGCGCCAACGGGACAGCCGCAACCACACAACACGACACCAAACACAACACAGCACTGGCAGCCAGCCACCGGTGTGTTTCGCTATTTCACCTCCCCGCAGTGTATCATAAATGCCGTCCCGTCCGCCGCTGACAAATACATACTAGACACGCGGCCGTTAAATCAGTCAGTAGGGACAACACACACACAGCCATCACCTCATGCACATAACACACACACACACACACACATGAAGGATGGCACACGACCGGTCGATGAGTCCGTCACTCATCATCAGCCGCACTCGATGGCTGACTTGCTCCCGCTATGTCCCCCTCACCCCCCTCCCCCTGCCCCTCTCCCTCCCCCTGCCCTGTCGGAAACAGGATCTTGAGCAATGCCTCAGTGCACAGCTTGGCTCCGCTCTCGACGTCGACAAATGCGCCCGTGCACAGGCACATGCTCACGATCATCCTCCCGAACTGCTCGGGGCATTTTGCCCACACCGATTTCTCTCTCGGTGGCTGCGGTTTGCCCTGGAAGACTGTCTGGTGCATCATCTTGGCCAGCTCCATCGCCTTGGACTGCCTCGCACGCTCCATTGCGACCGGGTCCGACATCCACGCGGGTTTGTTCTGGTCAGCCCCACGGCCCGCGCCGCTCATGGTGGTGTTGTTGGCCTCCCTGGCCACCCAAGTGCCGTTGCCCCTTCCTCGGCCACGTCCAACGCCGCCTGGTGGGGGGCGCTGGCCATTGTTTGCCGGCACTGGCGGGGGGACCTGCTGCTGTTGCGGCTGCTGCTGCATGGCCACCGACGATGGCGCCTGAGAAGGCCCTCCTGCCTTGGGTGTGATTGGCAGCGGCTGGGGTGCCTGCTGCTGCTGCTGCTGTTGGCCAGTGGGTGGCTGCCCGACCGGGCGCCAAATCCGGTCCGCTGTTGGCTGCCAGGGCCGATCCACCATGCTCCCTCCCTGCTGCTGGGCCGGCGGCGGCCGGGCACTGGTGTTGGTGGTTGGTTGTTGTTCTTTGCGAGGTAGTTGCGGATGCCGCTCGGACCCGCGAAGTGGGGCGGAAGGCGTCGCACATGCTCCTCTTGCTGCTGCTGCTGCTGCTGCCGGTATTGGTGCTGATGATCAGCACCCCGTTGCCCGCCTCCATCCGCACCACTCGCGCCACCCGCTGCGCGCGCATCGACAGGCGCGAATGGGGGCGTTGCTGGAGGCACTGCTTGAAGGTCGTCCATCAGCAATGACGAGCTGGAGCTGGACTGAGCGTGGCCTGGGCCGCACTGGACACGAGACGCATGCGGCCGTGCTGCTGCCTATTGATTGGCCCTCGTCTTGGCCTCCTCATCGAGCCTGGGGTACCTCGCCATGTCCCTCTCCATCTCCCTCTCCCACTCGCGGAAGTCCTGCTGCCGCTGGTTTTTGTTGCCATCGTTCTGGGGGGCGGAGGGCTGCGACGCGTCTTCCTCTGACGCACCCTGCAGCTGTGGCAGCGGCACCCGGATGGTCTCTTCGACGTCGAGAGAGACGAGCCAGTCTTGCGGGCCGCATCGCATGAGAGCGGCGGCTCCTCGGACTCTGCTGCTGATGTGGCTTGACGGTAGGAGGGTGAGCTCATGGATGAATCGGGGGAGATGTCCCCGCGGCGAGCAGCCCACTCCTTCGGGTCGCCCCACGGTTTGGAGCGCGCGAGGTCCCGCTTGTCCTTCTGGGTCAGCTTGGGCGTCTTCATGGTGGCCAGCTCCTCTGGCACGTCTGCACCCCACCGCACACACGACAGACAGAGAGAATGGGTGTTTGCGCGTCTTTCTCCGTTGCGCTCTGTGTGTGTATGTGTGGGCCTCACCAGTAGGTTGCCGGAAGCGGAGGATGGTCGACCTGTCGTAGCTGCGCGAATCAGTGCCAGTGACCTCCGCAACGCCCGCCTGGCCGTCCTCTCCCGCCCGATACAGCGACGCCTCCGTCCCATGACGCTCCTGCTGACCGCCATACCCAGCGGGCACGTCAGCCGCCGACCGCCCCCAGGCGTTGAGCTCATGGTATGGCTCACCGGAGCTCTCGCCTTCCCGCCTGGTGATGTAGCCCTCCATTCCCCGCCCCGTGGTGAATTTGTCTTGGTCGAGGTCTGCTGGGATGCGGGAGGAATGCTGCGATGCCGGAGGGGACGAAGCGGGCGAGCGTGGGCCGATAACCGTTTGGGGGGTGGGGGCGGCGCTGCCATCGCCGTTGCGGCCAGGGTCGTGGTAGTCGCTCACTCTGCTGCTGCGGCGACGCTCATCGTGCATGAGCCCTTCCCGCGGCACCTCACGGGCACTCTCAGCCCTCTCTGCATCAAGGTATCGCCCTCGGCTGGCCGTGGGACCACTGCGGCGCTCCGGTGATCGACCAGAACGTCCGAAGTGCCGCTCGCTGCGGACGTCGGTCTCACGGCGACGCTCATCGAAGGGTCCAAGTGCGGGCGGGATGAATCGGTCGTCGTCATGATAACGCCCACCACGTCCTCTGGCAGGCGCCTCTCGCTCGCTGCCGGCCATTCCTCCGCCATATATGGTGTGGTCGTGCGGCCGACCTCGCTGCCCGAAAGCGTACTCACTGTGCATATCGTCCTGACGGCGACTCATGCGGGGGTTGCGACCCTCTTGGCGGCGAGGAATACGATGGGCGGGCAGTGGGCTGACAGGTGGGGAGCTGTCTGACGAGTGAGGAGAGGGGGGACGTTCTGTCGTGGTCCTGTTTCGGGCCATTCGCCGACGAGAGACGTCGCGGGGCTCCCTGCCGGAACGATAGTCGACGAGGTGGCGATCCCCCTGATGACGTAGATACACCACAACGGACACAGCAGCAGCAGCAGAAATGGGATATGTGGGCCCTGTGTGTGCATGTGTGTTCGTGGTGGGCTGCCTGGTTTGGCTCTGGGGGCATACCAGCTCGTGTGGCGACAGTGGGCGCCCCAGTCGGCCGTACTCGACAGGCTGCTGACGCTGCATCAGGTCTTGGATCCGCCGGTGCAAAGAGGTCCTCATGTGCTGTGGAGGGAGGGACGACAGGAGAACATAAAGGAGATGCGATACATGTCCGTGGGGCATGCACTGCACTGCCTACCCGCAGATGAAGCAGGAACTTGTCGATGTTGCCGCGCAGCTGCTCCGCTTCATGACGAGGGGCCCGCTGCTCCTCCCTCTCGATCTTGACCGCAATCTTCACCGCCCATTTCTGCCAGAATTGCAGGTCCCTCAGTCCCCATCCCTGGCGACAGAATCTCTCGTACCCCTCGCACACGTCACGCAGCAGGTCACCGAGGGATATGCTGCGCTCTCCCGGCTCGCCAAGACGCCGCCTGTCCTGCCTCCGATCCCGAGTCTCGACCGGCGCAAGTGAGCCTCTCTCACTGCCCTCCCGATGGCGGCGTGAGGGCGGACGGACAGGTGAGCTATCGCTGTCATCGGAGTCGCCCCTTGCACCCGGACGATCGCTGGACCGGTCTCGTTGGTCGGGGTAGACGGGGCGATCGGGGCGCCGTTCGATGCGGTGGTCTCGGTCTCGTTCATCGGACGAATCGGGCGAGTCGTGCCGGAGGAGAGGAGGAGGTCTGTGCTGATGGTCAGGGCGATCGACAGGTTCGAAGGGGGAACGGTCAATAGAGAGACCTGACATGATTGATGCATCACACACATCGAGACGTACACGTGTGAGGTGGTGATAGGTTTGGTAGGTTTCATTCGGCCTGCCGTGAGTTTCGCACATATATACCTGGACGGAAGCCATCCTCGTGCCAATCTCCTCCCCTCTCCCCACGAGCACCGCCGCCTCTCTGCGGCCGGTCGACTCGACGGTCTCCTTGATAGTGGCGGTCGTCAGGGTGACGCTCTGGGGAGCGGTCACGTCGACGATGAGGTGCGAGTGGCGGGCTGTCTTGTTGTTCCTGGCCGGGTGGCTCGATGGGCTTCCGCTTGGGCTTCGTCGGTAGTTGATCGAGGGGCTCGTCGCCGCGGAATGGGCGTGATGGGAGATCGTTGGGTGCATAATCGTCGTCGGAACCTGACACACACGACAGGCACACACACGTGTGGCCTTAGTGCCCTCTTGTGTGATTTCTTGTGGGGTATGTGTGTGTGTGTGTGTCTACCAGGGATGCTGGGTGGGAAGATACTGGTACGAGTGTTTGTGTGGCCGGCGCCGCTCCCTCTCCCTCGCCCCCCCGTCTGTCTGTCGCTGCTCTCCACATCAGCGCCTCCCACCGAGCTCATCCCGTCGGCATCACCACCATGGCCGCCATCGCGATCGACATCAGCATCTACTGACACCGACAGACACAGAGGGAGAGACAAAGGCATCCCGTCCAGTTGTGTCATCAAAGTGCGTCTTTCCTTCCCTTCTGTGTGTGTGTGTGAGCTCTCACCTGGGCGCGGGTCGTCATTGTTGTCGCGCATGTCAGAAGCAGCAGCCGCCACAGGGAAACGGTGTCTGGGCCCCGGCGAGCCCCAGTCCTCCTCTCCATCGACATCAAGCACCTCCCCAGCCTGCATGGCAGCAGTCCACTCCCTCGTCGGGTCCGGCCCGGACACCTTGACCAGACAAGCCCTGGGCCCTGAACCGTCGTTGTTGTGGGCACGAGAAGAGTCCAAGGGGATGGACGGCTCTCTGAACGGACGGTAGGTCTCCAGCAGCCCTCTGCCGAGCCCACGACCGGGGCGTGGCCCTCCAGTGGTGCATTGGTCCATCCGGTCTGCCGGAAGCCGCTGCTGCTGCCGCTGCTCCTCCCCATCGACGTCGACATCCCCCTCCCCCTCACCCTCCCCCTCTCCCTCTGCCGACAACCAATCGTCATCGTCGGGCTCTCGCTTCATCGGCGAGTCTTCAGAGTCGCTGAACATCTTGCCGGGAGACGGCACCATGGAAGAAGAAGCCGTCGGGGAGGGCTCTACCAGCGGATCGAAAGCACCTCCACCACTCTCCACCGGCACCGGCAGGGGCGCTATGACTGAGTTGGGCGAGCCGTCAGGTGCATCAGGTTGCTCTGTTGGCTGGGGGTGCTGGTAGGGGTCATCGAGTGACATGGACTGGGGAACGGACGGCGGGGCGTCCGCGGACAGCTGCGAAGAGGGTGAGTGCGGCTGCGGCTGCATCCAGTGATTGAAGTTGGCACCATGGTAGTCTTCAGACACGGGCGCCGCCGGAGAGAGAGGGGGGAAGCCCCCTTGCTGGCCATAGCTGCTGTTGTCAGGACCCTGCTGCTGCTGCTGCGCGACCGGCATGGCCATAGCAGACTGGTGCTGGTGCTGCTGGCGGTGGTTGTAGATCTGATCCATCTGTTGCTGCGCCAGGATGTTTGGACCAGCCGCTGGTCGCCCGGTGGGGAAGACCGCCTTCGGCTTTGGCAGACGAGATGGTGCGGGAGGCGGACTGTATTGGGGGGGCGGGGGTCTCTGCTGCTGATGCTGCTGCTGCTGCAGGTGGTGGTACGCGTGTGGGAGTTGGCTTTGCTGCGTCTCATCCATACTGCGGGGCGGGTGGGGACGG